ATATGAATCCAATGCAAAGAATGAAGGGGTGGGGGAGGCATTTCAGGTGGAAAGATGCCTGATATATGCAAAGGGTGAAGGCAGAAAAATGCATATCGTCATGGCTCATCACACAGTTTGCACTTTTATTAAAGTGACTCATGGCTGAGTGGCTGTGGGATTGTGATCGGGTTGTGTTAGGGGAGAAAAATACGAATGGTGCGGAACTACTTTACATGGTAAATGAGTTACTGGACAGGAGTGGGTGAGTACTGAGCAGTGAGAGTACTAGGTTTGTGTTATGCGGTGGTTTTGTGCTATGCAGTGTTATGCAGTGTGTTATGCAGTGTGGAGTACTGCGTTTATGCAGTGTAGAGTACTAGAGAGAGCACAGCTTGCTCCAAACCTGCTAGCAGCACACCTGTAGGCCAGTTACCTAACTTCCCTAAGCCTCAGTTTCTCTATCTGTATAATGGCTGTGATAAAAAAGGTACTTCATAAGGTTGTTGAGATCAGAGGCAATGCATTTAAAGTAGCTGTTTCCTCAAAATCACCAGTCCAAGTTAGGCCTTCATTGAAATCTGGTTCCCCCTCTCAGAGTATCCTATTTTCCTTTCTACTTGCACTTGAATCAACTCTATATTTGTATGTTTATTTATTTAATGTCTATTTCCTGGTGTAAGTTCCATGAGGAAAAGACAACATCTGTTCATCTCAACACTATCTCTTTAGTGCCTAGGACAGTAGGCACTCAATACATCTTTGTTAAATGCATACATGTATGAATGAATAAACAAATTCATACATAAGGATAATAACATCTATTTATGTGCCATGACTCAGAAGAATCTCAGGGAAAAAAAACATCTCTTTTTCTGGTGAGGGGCAGGTTACTAACACAGGAAAAGTTTTCAGAGAACGTACTAAGGGAACCATAGGGCAAGGGCCTCCACAGGTCACCATAGAAAGCACCACATTTTATCTCTGCCTCCTATAGAGAACCACCTCTGAGCAGGAAGGAAATTACACAAACTTCCAGCTTAGCTGGTTCCGGGGTTTCACAACCCAGCTCTTTTTGTCTTGCTTAAGTCTGACGTGCTGCTTCACTGGTATGACCTGCAGTGTGCTTAGTGGATGATGACACTGCACAATTGCCATGCTGCCCAGCAATGACCCTGAGTAGATGTCTAGACTTTCCAATACTCAAGTCATATAGTTCCGTGCAATGCAATTTACGTAGAGTTGGGGAGGATAATAGAGGATATATAGATGTGCTAATAATTATTAGGCATTTGATATGTTCTGCGAAAGAGATAAGGACAGGAAAATGGAGAATACAGAGGGGGCCAAATGGCCCAGGGTGATGTGAAGCAATGTATGTATGGTTGGATAACATTTATAGCTTTTCAAAATATAATTGTACATATCATCTGTTCTTAGTCTCCCTGCAGTCATGGTTAAGTATGGATAACTTTGTATTATTTGTTCCTATTGTAATAGACAGAAACTGAGGCAACTGGTGGTGGTCGAGGACATAGATCTGGTTCAGTGGCTTTCTTAGTTTGTTTTGTACTGCTATAACAGAATACAGGAGACTGGGTAACTTCTATGTATGTATGTATGTATGTATGTATTATTTACTTATGTATTTTCACTTTGGAACATTTACATCAAATGGGTGACTTTTAAAGAACAGAAACTTATTTCTCACAGTTCTAAAGGCTGGGAAGTCGAATATCAAGGTGCAGGCATCTGGGGAGTACCTTCTTGGTGAGTCATTTCATGGTAGAAGCTAAGAGGATGAGAGAGACAGAGACAAAGACAGAGCAGAGACAGAGAGAGAGTAGAGTAGTGAACCCACTGTTGTGATAATAACTTCATCTATTTATGAGGGTGGAGTCTTCATGGCCTGATTCTCTCTCATTAAGCTTTACCTCCCAACATTGTTGCACTGGCAAGTTTCCAACACATGCTTTTTGGGAGATACATTGAAACCTAGCAGTGGCAGATATGAACTCATGGCCCAGATCTTATGACTATCAGTTTAGGGATCTTCCTTCTGAACCATACTGTCTCTTGCTTTTATGTTAGCCAAGAGTATGAGCATGCTTGGAGTTTCACAATGTCACAGAAGGTTGGTGAGCTTACATAATATATTCCCAATGCACTTTTGTGATGGAATATCAGAATAGAATAAATCAGGAGTTGGCAAACTAAGGTCCATGACCACATCACCCATTGCCTGCTTTTGTAAATAAAGTTTTGTTGAAACACAGTCATGCCCACTCATTTACTCTTGTCTATGGCTGCTTTTACACTACAAAGGAAAGTTGAATAGTTTCAACAAAGACTGCGTTGCCCATAAAGTCTAAAATATTTACTATCCGGTCCTTTATAGCAAAAGTTTGCCACATCCTGGAATAAATAAATGGAATGAAAGTAGTGGAAAAAATATCCACTCATTCATAACAGGCAGTATATCATTACTGAAGAAGAGAATAAAATTGGCCTTGGGCACACTCAGGTGAGAATCTCACTTTGGCCATTTGGCTTGATGACTTTGAAGAAACTATTTTTACTCTTTAAGCCTGTTTCTGCATGTATCACCTTATAAGATTGCCATTTAGGTGTTCTACAAGGGAAAGGATATATACTATACCATAACAATATGGTTCAGAAGAAAGATCCCTTGAACTGATAGTCATAAGATCTGGGCCATGAGTTCATATCTGCCAATGCTTTAGTTTCAATGTGTCTGTGATATATATATATATCATATTTAGATTTGGCCCCACATAACAGATGATACAAAATGCAAGTGTCTTACACAAGTCAACAGTTTATTTCATTGTGGAGGTCTGGAGGACAGTTGGGTATTGATCACTTGCTGAATGGATTAATAACTCAAGTCCCTTCACCCTGTTGCTTTGTTGTCTATGGCTTTCATCCTTGAGGTTCTTTCATGGTCCAGATGGCTATGAGAGCTCTAGCCACTATGCTATAATTGCTATTGATAGCATGCTAGTAAGACAAAACAAATTTAAAAAATCAAATACACAAAAGCCTAGAAACAGAGCCATCTATAAGGTCAGGAAGCAAATCTACTAATTCAAGCTAAGATCCCCTTGCCATAGTTCATGAGACAATCAGGATATTTCATTTATGCCATTCTTAGGGTACACTGAAAAAAGATCTGGAAGTAATGTATTCAGCATCTAACACTTTACAGAGCATTTTCATATTTCTTACCATATTTGCACTTCACAACGTTCTGGAAAGATAAGATGGACAGGGATTAATATTATTATTTCTACTGAACACTTGAGTCCCACACATTAAGAAATAGATCTCGCCTGAGCCCGCGGGTTCGAGACTCGCCTGGGCAGGCGAGACCTCATCTCTACAATAAATCAAAAAATTAGCTGGGTGTGGTGGCGCGTGCCTGTAGTTCCAGCTACTTGGAAGGCTGAGGCGGAAGGATCGCCGGAGCCCAGCAGGTCGAGGCTGTGGTGGCTGGGAGCAGCCACTGCACTCCAATCTGGGCGACAGTGAGACTCCAACTCAAAAAAAAAAAAAAATAAGAAATAGATCTCAAAGAGTCTACAGCTAGGTCTTTGAATATTTGTTGGAAGTGAAAGGTGAGAACAATCGGTATAGGAGAAATAAAATGACCCCAATCCAGATCTCTGATAAAGATGCATCGCAAATCATGTGGTCTCAGCCTCAGTGGGCAGGTATCCTCACCTGTAAGACCAGGATAAGAAAAGCACCTATTTACTTTTGTTGTTGTTGTGAAGATAGAAGAGACTCTTAATGCACCTGGCACACAAGTTCAATGAAATCTTTACCTCTCATAACAGCTGTGTCCTTTGAAATTCACTTCCTTTTCCTGGGCCTCATTTTTCTTTTCTAGGAAAACAGTGTTTGAACTCAGTGACTGCTAAACTGTCTTCTAAATCTCAAGCTCCTTTAACCTGGGAACCTATCTTTTCAGTGGAAATACTCTGGTGTTCAGGCTGGAATTCTCCTTCTAGTTGTCTACCAGCTGTGTGTCCCAGAAAAAGTTAAACGCATTTCTGACTCTGCATCCGTAAAATAGGGATACATAGCAAAAAACTTATTGGGAAGGAATGACATGCGAGGATTAAATGAGGTCGGTATCCAGTACCTAGCAGATTGTATCAAAGGCAGGGACAGATTCTAAAAGGCAAGGACCCATCTATTTGGTAGATTTACATAATGTCATACGTACTTCCGAGGGTTGGCCACGGGATTAGAACTTTCCCGTAAAGAATCAGGAAAAAGACTTGGCACAAAGCAAGCTTTCAAGAATTGTAACTATCCAGTAAATATTATTTCTCACACAAGCCTACAACGGTCCTGGTGTTCCTTACAGGGTTTGGCACACGCACACCCATTAGGGGCTGCAGAGAGCTTGCCTGGGGGAGTTCTCCGAAATGAATCCCAGAGGCGGAAACTAGCATCCTGAGCCGACGCAGCCCCCCTCGGTGGCTTTAAAAACCCAACGTGTCCAGGAGAAGGCGGAGAGCCTGAGTTGGGCTTGGGTCAGCACACCGGGCCGGTAGGACAGGACCGGCTAGAAGGAGCACAGAATCAGAGGGCGGGCCCGCGGCGGGGGTGGCCAATCCCGCGGCTCGTTCAAAGGGCCAATCAGGGCGCGTTTTACAGGGGCCGCGC